TCTACCTAATGCAGCTGATGGAACTACTGCAGATGGTATGTGTGTTGGGCAGAGTAAAACTGTGATCACGAATGGAAAACTGGGAGAAAGGAAAGAGCAGAAGACTAGAACCAGATGTTACTCATTTGTCTGACCATGAACTAATATCATGATCTCAGCAGTGATTTCAATACTGTGGTTATTGGGGCCGGCGCTGTGGCTTAGCAGGTAAAGCCATTGCCTGCAGTGCTGGCTAGAATCCTGGCTACTCCACTTCTGATCCAGCTCTCTACTATGGCCGGGAAAAGTGGTAGAAGATGGCCCAAGTCCTTGGGTCCCTGCACCTGTGTGGGAGACTAGGAAGAAGCTCCTGGATCCTGGCTTCAGATTGGCCCAGCTCCGGCTGTTTTGGCCAGTTGGGGAGTGAACCAGCAGATGGAAGACCTCCCGCCCCGACTCTCCTTCTCTGCTTCTCTGTGTAACTTTGACTTTCAAATAAATAGATAAATCTTTAAAAAAAAAAAAAAAAAAGCGCAGAAGAGATGAAGCATGCCAGGGGACACACGGCAAGCACACTCAGAAGGCTTATCACATGCTGGGCCGGGGAAAACGAAAACACAGCTTTAGGACAATCGAACAAATGTGGGTGTGACTGTGACCTGACCCCCACTCTTGCCTGTGGCAATGGCATCACTGTTGTAACAGCCACGTCTGTGTTCACTGTGTAGGAGAGGAGTGCAAGCACTAACAAGAGTAGTACCCTATGTACTCTATGTATGTGGCAGGCAGGGGCTGTATCAAACACACACACAAATGTGCCACAATATTATTTCTGAATTTATGAGGAGAATACACAGTTGTTTACTGTGTTTTTTTTTTTTTTAATTAAGATTATTTATTTATTTGAAAGACAGAGTTACGGAGGCAGAGAGAGATTCCATCTGCTGGTTCACTCCCTGGATGGCCACATGGCTGAGGCTGGGGCTGGGCCTGTCTGAAGCCAGGGGCTTCTTCTAGCTCTCCCATGTGGGTGCAGGGCCCAAGGACTTGGGCCATTCCTCTGTTCTCCCAGGCATAGTAGCAGGCAGCTGGATCAGAAATAGAGCACTCAGGTCTCCAACTGGTGCCTGCAGGAATGCCAGCACCATAGCAGTGGCTTTACCCACTACACTACAATGCCAGTCCATACTGTGCTATTCTTTCAAAATAAAATAAAATTAACATATGGAAATGTTCTCATAATTCCTTCCTGCACCCTCAATGTGTGGGCACACAGGCTCCACTGTGGAGCAGGGGATAAACTGAGCTAATCCGTGTTATTGCAAAAACTCCCTACAGCAACTCAGAAGAATGATCTGAAAGGTGGTGGGCTGACAGCCAGAGTGAAGGCGAAGTCGCGACAGCAGCAAGGAAGCTCTGCAGCAGCTCAGCAGAGGTAGTGGCGACCACAGCAGGGACAAGGCAAGGAGAACGAGGAGGAGGAACAGACACAGGGCAGGATGCTGGACTGGGGAGAAAAGAGGAACAGCAAGGCTGATGCGGGAGCACAGTGTGCTTGGCAGGTTGCCGGGGAAAGTTGTGTTCTGGTATAGACAGAGACGGAGCTGTCACATCAATAGGTGGGGAGCAGTGGCCCCTGCGCACAGGAGAGCTGGGTGAGGGAGTTCTCTCCCAGGAACACGTGTCCTGGATTTTCAACTTGCTCCCTCACCTCCTCTGTCTTCTCTGGTTAAATGCTAGGCTTGGGTGGGGCTCACCAAGTTCTAGACAACATAGAAAGCAGCCCCTGCCTGCCCACTGCTGCTGGCCACACATCAACCCCAGTAAGCTGAGTCTCTCCTTCAGCAGGGTCCACCGTGAGTCAGTTCTCTCTGGCTGCCTACCCTGCAAATAGGGCACGCCCACTGCTGTTTGTTGATCAGCTGTTCCTCAGTACTCAAAACAGGGTTTAGCACACTGAATGAATGACTGTAGATTTGGGCATCAATCCCACACAGAAGACAGCAGAAATCAGAAGGCAGGCTCAGGCAAGCTGGTGAGAGGCTGTGGCATGGCAAAGGAACCGGACTGAGAATAGACAGCAGGAGACATCAACATCTTAGATGCCCGAAAGACACCAGGGTACTTCCCAGAGAAGCAGCAGGCTAAAGCAGAGCCAGGACGCCAGGGGAGACCAAGGCTGGGGTGAGGCGCCAGCAGGGTCAGCAGTGTGGGGCCACAGGTAAGCTGTGAGACAACACAGACAGGCTGGAGAGGCAGCACAGCCTCGAGCCCGTCAGGAATGATGGACAGCTCGGACAGACTGCCTGAATGCGCTTTACATACAAGAAATGTGCTCCGAGTTTAACAGCCCATCTCCACTGGGATTTTATATTTTGCCTAATCAGGAATTTTCCTCATCACTCATTCATGGACCTCAATCTAAAATTCCCCCTACTTCTCCTGTTCACACTGGATTTTTCTCTTTCCAGGTCTAAACCAATACCCACTTTCTTCCCCTTCCCTATGTGCATCCTGCTGTGGTAGACAGAGCTGGACCAGGAGCAGGACACATGGGCTCAGGGTCTACAAGCTACCTGCCAAGTGACTGTGTTGAGTCTTACAACTTGCATGGGCCTCACACATGACAGGCGGGAACTATCAGAGCTACTTATATTCTCTGAGGACGTCCTCATATGTTAGTCTAACTATGTGTTATGTGTTTTTTATTTACCTATCCCATTTACTTTTTTTTTTTTTTTTTAAGATTTATTTGAAAGTCAGAGTTATACAGAGTAGAGGCAGAAAGCGAGAGAAAGGTCTTCTAACCGTTGGTTCACTCCCCAATTTGCCGCAATGGCCGGAACTGCACCGATTCGCAGGCAGGAGCCAAGAACCCCTTCCAGGTCTCCCACGCAGGTACAGGGGCCCAAGGACTTGGGCCATCTTCTACTGCTTTCCCAGGCCATAGCAGAGAGCTGGATCGGAAGAGGAGCAGCCGGGACCAGAGCTGACACCCATATGGGATGCCGGTGCTTCAGGCCAGGGCGTTAACCCCCTGCATCACAGTACCAGCCCCTCATTTACTTGTATTATTTGACACAATGCTAGTAACAACCATGAGGTGGCCATTTCTTTCCTTTGATGGAGGAACAAACTGAGGATCAAATTGGTTAAGACATCAAAGACCATGGGCTGGTGTTGTGGTGCACCTGGTTTGGCTGCTGAGACTGTCATCTCATGAGCACCAGTTCAAGTCCCAGCTGCTCCACTTTCAATCCATTTTCCACATAACTGTGCCTGGAAAAGCAGCAAACAATGGCCTAAGTGCGTGGGTCCTTGCCTCCCACATGGAAGACCCACACAGAGTTCTAAGCTCCTAGTTTCAGCCTGGCCAAGCCCTGACTGTTGTGACCATGTAAACCAGCAGATGCAAAATTTTGCTCTTTCTCTGTAAGCCTGCCATTAAAATAAATAAAAATTTAAAAAAAGAGTCTCACAGCTATTTCTCTGGCCTAGAATTTCACTTAATGTGTTTGTAGCAACTGCCTAAGCTGCTACCTGCAAAATAATATATAAGGTATGTTATGAATTAATTTCTATAGTAATCTATGTAAATAAGCTGCCACAGTAATGGGGGTGGGAGTAGGGGGAGGTGGTGCTGCAGTGCAGCAGGCTAAGCTACTGCGTGAAATGCCTACATCCCATATACTGGAGTGCCTGGGATCAATTCATACTTTCATTTCCAATCCAGCACCTTACTTGTTTTTTTTTAGGATTTTATTTATTTATTTGAGAAGTAGAGTTATATTCAGTAAGAGGAAGAGACAGAGAGAAAGGTCTTCCCTCCACTGGTTCACTCCCCAAGTGGCTGCAACAGCCGGAACTGTGCAGACCCGAAGCCAAGAGCCAGGAGCTTTCCCCCAGTCTCCCAGGCGGGTGCAGGGGCACAAGGACTTGGGCCATCTTCTACTGCTTTCCCAGGCCATAGCAGAGAGCTGGATAGGAAGAGGAGCAGCCAGGACTAGAACCGGTACCCATATGGGATGCCAGCAGCGCAGGTGGAGGATTAACCTACTGCACCATGGTGCTGGCCATGAGTTCCTAACTAATATGCCTGGGAGACAGAAGGTAATGGCTCAAGGACTTGAGTCCTTGCCAACCACATGGGAGACTTGGATGGAGTTCCTGGCTCCTGGATCCACCTTGGACCAGTCCAGGCCATTTTGGCAATCTGAGGAGTCAACCAGTGGATGAAGACTTCCCTCTTCTCTGTTCCCCACTTTGCACATGTGGAAGGGGCCGCTGGCAGGGTGCTCAGCAGCTGCTCACTGTGTGTTAAGCACTCTTGTCAGCAGAGGGAGCAGAGGAGGTTTCTGAGCTTTTCCACTGTGGGCCCGAGTGGAAATCAGTGGTGATTTGCTTACTGAAGTCACTCAGCAGCATGTCACGTGACACGCTCCCGAAATAAAGATCCGAAGTAGGTCAGGGCCTCAGGTAGAGAGACAGTAACACAAGATTCAATACACAACCTGTCATCACATTTAAATCCATGCCACTTTCTCTAAAATTATTATCCCAGGCACTCATCAAGAGCAGGGTCCTATAATCAGGAACAACTATCAGAATAAATTATGACATTTCTTTCTCAATATAGCTATAGAGGAGGCACACTTTTAAAAACAGAAATAAAAGAAAAACGAAAAATAACAATACCAGACCAAAGACGTCACAAATTATAAGCAAAACAACATACTGCAGAAACCCACTAAGTTCTAGGAAATGTGTGATGTCACTGACTAAACATAGAAGGATGAGAAAAACCCAGAAAGGAGATTTCATTTGCTGAGACCAAGAGAAAGCCTAGCGGCACAAAATTTATTTTTAATCCATGTTGCTCCCAAGTATACAAGCAGGGCCACGAGAACGGCGAGCACACACATCCATGGCTTCACCGCCTCCAGCCAGCTCCATGCACAGGATCTGTCAAAGGCACGACCCTAGGGCCACCACAGACACAGCTGATGGGAAGGGACACTTACTTTTTGGCAAATCCCCAGTACTAGAGGCTGAAACGGTCCTGCTTCTGTCATGGGATGGACTGCTTTCCTCTTGCTCGGTCAGTGGTGATCCCTCGGACAGCACAGAGCCGCAGGCCACAGGTTCTAAGGACCCCGAGAAGAGAGAAGTAGAAAACTCGGGAAACTGTGACTCGGGAATTTTATGTCGTCCATTTGGCAATTCACCATTGAACTGTTCGTAGGAGCTGCTATACGTGTAATCACTTTCTGCATTTGGCTCATCAGGGTTATACTCCTCAGGATTTGGGCAGTCATCTTCATCATCCTCTTCTTCCTCCAGCTGCTGTTCCAGTGAGAAGGGGCCATTCTCTATATGGCCATTGGTTTTTGGGGATTCTATCCAGGTGGGATCTAGGTTCGCAAGTTCCTGTTCAACATCATCTTCATCTTTCTCAATGTTTTCTTTCTCGGCATCTTCTTTCTCATCTTGGTCCTCGGCGTCACCTTAAAAAGTGGATGGGTTAGAAATTAGCACCCTCTCCCTCTGTGACATGGGTGTTTACCTCCCCTTCCACAAGACTGAACCTGGCCGTGCTTCATTTATGTATCACAGAGTGAATGCCTCTTGACCCTTGGGGTAAAACCTTTAGGTTTCCTAAATCTTAATTTTTGTTTACTCACTAATTGGCCTATTCTCAGGATAAGTTAGCTTTTAGGGAAAATCTTCATTAAAAAATGTTGTACTTCAATTTCTACCTTCTCCTCTGCAGCCTTCAGAAAGGGTTTTTGTGGTGCCCAACAATTAGCCAAAGGTTACTTACAAACCAAAGGAAGGACTGTCACTAGTAAGACAGACTCTGTGCTTCTCAGACATTTTCTGTACTTTAAACCCTATGTTGAGAAGTTACCGTATTCCTGGCCCATATTTTGCAAGTGAGGGCCCAGCCTATCTCTGATACTGCCAATACGGAGGTGCAGGGAACGGTCTCACTATCTGAAGAGGCAGTGTGAAGTAGGTGCAGGCCCCCAGCACCGAGCAGCCCCCAGGCCCCACTGACCGCTGTCCTTTGCGGTCTCCTCCTCGGCGGTCTCCTCCAGCCCTGCCGCTTTTAGTTTCCCTTCTGGGCGGTATTCACCATCTTGCTCGTTGGACGGTACAGCTGAGGTGATGTTTTCTTCTATTATTTTCCTTTCAGCTTCACGCTCCAGTTCTTCTATCTCCTGCAGGCGTTTTTCCAATAATTCTGCCTGCCTCTTCTGCTTCTTTTTCAGCTTTTTCTTTTTGTTTTTAGATATTTTTCCTATCTACAATGTTAAGAAAACACCACAGGTCAGTTTCCATCTTTTTCAAGTACCACCCAATAGTACAAGTGCTGGCAGCATAGCAGATGCCAGCAAACTGCTTTTCTGTGTCCTACCCACTGACAGGCACAAGCTCAGACATAAGTCCACCTTGCGGTTGGGGTTGTGGTAAAAAAAGAACTCAGTGCAGGCAGAAACCACATGTGGGGTCTACCATCAGGCCCTGCTCTAGAAGGTGAGAGTTCAAACCCAAAAGACTGCACCACTTAACTCTGAAAGAACTGAAAATCCTGCAACACTCTTGGCTTTGAACAAGAAGCTCCTCTTGCAAGTTTTATTTGCTGCTGCCTGTGTACAAAGTAACACCATCTCATCTTACTGCCACAAATAAACAAAAACAAAACAAAACACCTGCCAAAAGAGGTGTATGTCACTGTTGGTCAAAAATATTCTTGGGTGTCTGGCTCTCACATTCTCAGTGTTATCAACAGCCAAGACAGGACGAATTCAAAGAAATGAGCATACAAAGTGCACTGCGGGAATACCACGGCCATGGCCATGTGACTTGCAAGCACTGGCAGTGACAGTCTGGAGTCTTCCACAGAACCAGCAATCTCAAGCTGCTCTAGAATTAAGGGAACGCGTTGGGCTCCTCACAGATGAGGAAGCCCAATTACCACAGCCTCCCACCCCCACAACTTGAACTGAACTCCCACCTCAAAGTGAGGGCTGATGTACTGGATATAGTGTTTTGATAGAGCCACAAAATAGGTAACACTCTCATAATTAATAACTGGCTAGAAAACAAACTGGAACAAGAACTTCAGAACTTGTTCTGAACAAGAACTTCAGCAGTAACGTGGAAGCCAACCAGAAATAATGTAAATGACCTGGAAACAATCACACTTCAAACCTCACATTTCACCAGATGTGGCCAACGGCACTCCAGAAAGGAATAAGGAAGGTAGGCCTTTAATTACTGCAGCCCTGAAGAAAGCATTTCATCTTAACCCAACAGCAACTCACACAGCATTCATAAACATGTCTACTCTTCAGTATGTATCAGAACATCTGTCATACTTTGGGAAACGCTATAGTAAGCAGTCCCTGATGACAAAATGAACACAGATGTATTTGTTAAGTACTTACAGGTTTTTGCTGTGGAGCCGTACTCACTAAAACAAAATAAAATAAAATAGATGTTTAGAAGAAAATAAATACATATCTTTACATAGGTAATTCAAATTGCAAAATAAAATAATTACTATCTCTTAAAGGCTATCTAACTTCAAAAATTGTTCAAATTCAGAGCTTCTTAATTATAGGGATTCAAAAAGTTTAGGTATCTGAAATAACTCTGAAATAACTGGCTTTTTTTTTTTTTTTTGACAGGCAGTTATACAGTGAGAGAGAGAGAGACAGACAGAAAGGTCTTCGTTCTGTTGGTTCACCCCCCAAATGGCTGCTACGGCCGGCACACCGCACCGATGTGAAGCCAGGAGCCAGGTCTCCCATGTGGGTGCAGGGCTCAAACACTTGGGCCATCCTCCACTGCCTTCCTAGGCCACAGCAGAGAGCTGGACTGGAAGAGGAGCAACTGGGACAAAATCCAGAGCCCCAACCGGGGCTAGAACCAGGGGTGCCAGCGCCGCAGGTGGAGGATTAGCCTAGTGAGCTGCGGCGCCGGCCAATAACTGGCTCTTAAAAGGCACAGCAATACCATTGATCCTGAACCATTTCTCTTATCTATATAAAACTGTAAAAACAATCAACCCTAAAACACAAAAAGGTGACTTAAGAAAATGGAGAAGAGTTCACAAAGAGCACATTGTCACTGAACCAAATTTGTTTGCAATCTATTTGTAAGCTTTCCACAAATGAATTAAATAAACACTGCCACAAGTATGTAGCATTCTGGAAATCCCATGATTAGATTCCTCCCAATGTCAAGAGCCTGACAGGTTGGTTGCATATTCTAAACCACATCCTAATCAGTAGGAAATGAGACCAGAGACAGCACACCTCCCAAAGACCTCAGTCACTCCACCCGAGCCTGTATGCTTGCCTAGCAACTCAAGGGGCACAGACAATGTGTGTGAAGAGTGTGAAGGCACAGCTGGCACTTCACTGCCACCACTGAATTCTGTGAAAGCCAGAAATAAAATCCTCCATATGCCAATACTCAAGCCACTAGGTCTCCCCCACTTTCATGTCTTTCGTAACTAATTCCAAATGTACCAGTTAATTTCAATTTGATATAGCTATGTGAACTGGTGAGCTGGAGGCATTTGACAAAACCAAAGCTAGGAAAAAAATTCTGCTGACTACAGGTCAGCTACAAACCTGTTATTATATCTAACTCTCGAAATAACTAGGCAACTCAAGAAAATGTTCAAATGTACAGAAAGCAGCAGTTAAGCATTTAAAGGAGGACAAAGGTTAAGTAAGTACAATATTAAAATATAATTTAATTGATTTGATTAAATATAATTTAATTTCTTCTCAAAAAAAGGGTCCCAGATGTATATAGGTTTAACTCAATGGCCTTCATGAGATTCTGCAAGCTCACGACGCCCCCAAATAGATGGAAATGAAGCTGACTCAATTCTCTCACCTGCAGACCCTGAAGGAGGGGGAGCACCTGCTTTCTGCCATTCAGTGGCCTCGGCGGCCATTCTTCTCACATAGGCGTCATCCACACACATCAGGATGTTTTCCGGCTTTATGTCAGTGTGAATGATCTTGCATTTACTGTGCAGATAATCTAACCCTTGAAGGACCTGGTCATTGTAACAGCAAGAAAGGAGATGAGCTATTAATACCTTCATTATTTAACATTTACTTACTTGAAAAACAGCTACAATAATCACAAAGCACAAAATTCAGCAGCCGCAAAAAAGTATCTGGTAAAAGTCCCCCTCCCACCCCATCACCCAAAGGAGTCCAGCTCTCCTTCCCACAACCAACCAACGTGTATAATTTCCAGAAGCAACATATGCTCCTGGCAATAAATGTAACCATACATGAACATCTTCAGTGCAAGTTCTACTGAAAAACAATCACATATCAGAGTTTATCTTCATAAGTATATATTAAATGGCTTTTAAATTTGCATCCACCACTACTATAATTTATAAGTTTCATCACCAACTAAAACAACGCCATACCCATTAGTAGTCACTCCCTGTACTCTTCCAATCCTGTACCTTTTACAAAAGTGTAATCACAGAAAGTGATATTCTGTACCTGGCATGATGGTTGCAAGGTGCACTCTTGTGTAGCATGTATTAACATTTCATACCTTTTTATTAACAAGTAATAATCTACTGGATGGATACACATTGTTTTTGTTCAATCACTTGATAGACATCTGGGTTGTAACCCCTTCTTAGTTATAACAAGTAATACTGCTATGCACATTCTTGTACAAATTGTTATTTCTCCTGGGCGGAGTCACATGGTAACACTCGCATCTGACAGGTGACCCGTCAAACTGTTTTTCAGAGTGGCTGCAGCATCCAATGTTCCCACCAATCTATGAGGAGTCTATGTCTTCATGTCTTCATCGTGACCAACCACTGTTTTATTTTTAACCATTTGAGTCTGTGTGAAGCAGGCTAAAATGAAGCTGGCTTAGCTTCCTCGCCTGCAGTATTTCACTGTTGTTTTAATGTTCATGTTCCTGGTTATTAATGAAGTGCATATATTTTTAATACTAAAGGAAAATAAATATTTAATTCAGATAGAAAGAAAACAGCCTGATGCAGTGTTGTGGCACAGCAAGCTAAGCTGGTGCCTACAACCAATAAAGAGTGCTGGTTCAAGTCCCAGCTATTGTTTCCAATCCAGCTCTCCGCTAATGTGCCTGAGAAAGCAGCACCCCCTGCCACCCACATGGGAGACCTGGACAGAGCTTTGGCCTGGCCCAGCCTCAGCTGTTTGGGACCATCTGGGGAATGAATCAGCAAATGAAGATTTTTCTCTCTCTCTCCTTTGCAAATAGATTTTTCTTAAAAAAGAGGGGAGGGGAGGGGAGGGGAGGGGAGGGGAGGGGAGGGGAGGGGAGAGGAGAGGAGAGGAGAGGAGAGGAGAGACACCCTGGTATAATAAAAGAAACTTGCTGAACCAAAATTCTCACAGGCTTATCACATTAAAAGAAAAACACAAAAACAAACAAACAAAAAAACACCGGACAGCCAGTGACCTGAACAGAAAACCAATGTTTTTTTCTGGAATTATTTCCATTGTAGAATGAGTTTTTCAATTATTTCCAAAAACAAAAACTTTTTTTAAAATGCAGATCACTGGGCCAGAATTGTGGCAGAGCAGGTGGGCACAGGCTTGGGACCTCGCTGCTCCTCTTCCAAGCCACTTTCCTGTTAATGCCTGGAAAAAGCAGTGGAGGATGATCTAAATGTTTGGGCCCTGGGACCCAGATGGGTAACCAGGAATAAGTGCCTGGCTTTGTTCTGGCCCAGTCCCAACTGTGGCAGTCATTTGGGGACTGAACCAGTGGATGCAGGATCTTTCTCTCTGATTCCTTCTCTCTCCAACTCTGCTTTTAAAATAAATACATTAAAATAAAAAATATCATGTTCCTGCACACTTAAAATTTTAGATGTTTAACATCAATACTCAAACATTAATTCATTTAGGCATCTTGTTCAAAAGAAACAAGAAGTATGAAAAAAATTCAGAAGACACATAACATTTACCCAACACTAGAAATCTTCCAACAAAAACCTAGTGCTTCTGTCTACCTTGAGTAGCTGGCGAAACAAATACCAGGGATAATACAACAATACTACAAAGTGAGAGAGGCAATGCAGATTTTGGAAGGAAAAGGAAAACAGGAAGACTTGTCACTGAAACAGGACCAAAACCCTTCAAATCATTGAAAACAGCTTTTCCTTAGGAAGAATTTTTTGCATGAATCCACTGAATGAGACAAACCGCTGGTGGTGGTGAATACGTAACAATAAACAGTTTCCTGTCTTCATGGTATTGCAAACCTGTGTCCTCTTAGAGCTTACTCATTCCTGACAGGGGGTGGTCAAAAACTACCCTAGATGAACCATGGGCATAAGCAAACATGATTTAATGAGATACTGCTAAGTTCTTAGCAAAAATCAATAAAAGGAATAAAACTAGGCTAGGAAAGACTTTTGGTTTTTAATCTAGGGAATATATATGGTTTTAGAGAATACCATATTAGAATATGCTTAAATTATATTTCAAATTTCAAAAGAACAAAAGAAAGGTATCTCTCTCTCCATTTTCGCCTTTCAAATTATAGATAAATCTTTTCTTTTTTAAAGATTTATTTATTTGAAAGTCAGAGTTAGAGAGAGAAGAGAGACAGAGAGAGAGAGCTCTTCCATCTGCTGGTTTACTCTCAAATTGGCCACAACGGCCAGAGCTGCACCAACCCGAAGCCAGGAGCCGCGTCTCCCATGTGGGTGCAGGGGTCCAACGACTTGGGCTATCTTCTACTGCTTTCCCAGGTCACAGCAGAGAGCTGGATTGGAAGAAAAGCAGCCAGGACTAGAACCAGCACACATATGGGATTCCAGCGCTTCAGGCCAGGGCTTTAACCCGCTACATCACAGCGCCGGCCCCAATAAATCTTTTTTAAAAAGGGTATCTTCATGTATTTCCATAAGGAATATAGTTACATCCCTGAAGATAACACAGTTCAATGGGCCCATATGCTCTACACACTCCTACTTCCTGTACCTTCCTGTGCAATTTTAACATTTGAACAAGAGATTCTGAGAAGCATAATTAATGGATAGGCAAATGGATGATATCCAAGCTACAGAGGTCAAAACAAGAATTTTGAGAAATTTTAAACAAAATTATTCCAACTGACATTTCACTTATCAAATATTAATGCAAAGAAAAACTGTCAGTATCTTTCTTTCCAAAAATATTTGTTGATCACGTTCTCATACACAAGTTGTCCTTTATCCTCCATCTTGGCTGCTTTTACCATTTCAAGGCTGTCTCCTATGTGGGAGGCTACACGGCTAAGAGTTACCGTGAGTTGGTGTGCAAATGTGTTCATAGGAGCTCTTCATGATGATAATGCACTCTACACAAGCAAAGTCTTCTCAGAACTTAAGGTTCCAGAGTTTTAAAAAAAATTGATTATTGTATGCAACTAGGCTAATAATTTTCCTTAAGAATCACCAACTACAATGTCTGACGATGAACACAAGGAAAAGTCTTTTACCACTAGGACAAATACCAAGTATTTTCATTAGGATAATGCAAACCATTAAAGACACACAGTACAGGCCAGTGTGGAAATAAGGCCCTGCGGCTCAGAGTGCTCCATCATGCATCTGATTCACCATGGTACCCCTGTGTAAGCTTGAGTGCTCTGTGCTTCCATTTCCATAGCTACAAAAGAGTGCAAAACCTACGAGACACAACTATAGCTAAGAGTGATAAATAAGCTATGGAAACTCACAAAAACAAGGCCCAGCACAACAGAAGCACAGAACAAAAGACAGAATTGAAGTAAGAACATTCAGATTGGTATTGACTAGCTAATAATTTCTCAAGTCACTTATTAAACTTCTCTGGGAGTCACGTGTCTCAATTTCCACGTTATAGGGTAGTACTTGATGATTTCTACGGTACATCCTAGCAATAAAACTTGGATTTCATAACTTTTTTTTTTTTTGGACAGGCAGAGTGGATAGTGAGAGAGAGACAGACAGAGAGAAAGGTCTTCCTTTTGCCGTTGGTTCACCCTCCAATGGCCGCCACGGCTGGCGCGCTGCGGCCGGCGCACCGCACTGATCCGAAGTGAGAGAGAGAGACAGAAAGAAAGGTCTTTCTTCCATTGGTTCACTCCTCAAATGGCTGCTACAGCCGGCGCTGCGCCGATCTGAAGCCAGGAGCCAGGTGATTCCTCCTGGTTTCCCACGTGGATGCAGGGGCCCAAGCACTTGGGCCATCCTCCACTGCCTTCCCAGCAGAGAGCTGGACTGGAAGAGGAGCGACTAGGACTATAACCCGGCATCCATATGGGATGCCGGCGCCGCAGGTGTAGGATTAACCAAGTGATCAGCCACAGTGCAGGCCCCCATCTTGGACTACTTTTTTTTTTTTTTGACAGGCAGAGTTAGACAGTGAGAGAGACAGACAGACAGAAAGGTCTTCCTTCCATTGGTTCACCCCCCAAATGGCTGCTACAGCCAGCGTGCTGTGCTGATCCGAAGCCAGGAGCTTCCTCCTGGTCTCCCACGCAGGTGCAGGGCCCAAGGACTTGGGCCATCCTCCACTGCACTCCCGGGCCACAGCAGAGAGCTGCCCTGGAAGAGGAGCAACCGGGACAGAATCTGGTGCCCCAACAGGGACTACAACACGGGGTGCTGGCACCGCAGGCAGAGGATTAGCCAAGTGAGCTGCGGTGCTGGCCAAGGACTTTTTAAAAGTGAAATTTAAACTAATAAAGTATCCCCAAATCAACAAACATTGATGGGCAATCTTACAACCACTGATGCAGAATAACTGTGAGGATGGAAAAGACAAGAAATCAAGCTTTGGTAGAAAGATCTCTTTAAAATCTAACAGTGTTGGAAGGACCTTTTCTAATTTTTCCTCTATTGTCTTCACTTGTCACAATATCCTGGCATGTTTCTCTCTCCAGGCTGGCGTCAGCAGCAGGAGGCAGCAGAGGGCCTTTGGTTGCCAGCAAAGCTGAGATCACTCTAACCACAGACAGGCCAGTGGCTGTCAATCACCCACGCAGAGGAGCCAGGTCACA